TTTTAAAAACAAGAAAAAAGCGATATTAAAAAGAAAAAGTGCGGATAACATTAAGAACAATAAATACTGATACATTGTTCTGTTTCAAAAATAAAGCTTGAAAAAAGTTACATTTCTGCATATATATAAAATGTCAATTTTAACTGGTCATCCTAATCAAATAATCGCAAATGCAGTTTTTATGTCATTTTTCAAACATCTACGAAGTCTTTTTTGTTGTGAAAAAACTTTTACTCTTGATTTTCAAATTCGTTTTCCATATTCTGACTTTCAAAGCCTTCTAAGACGGATGAGAGCTGCTGCTGCTGCTGCTGCTACTCAAATCAGTGCCAAGCAATGGCCACTATTAATCATTAGCTGTCAGCAAACATCTAACGATGCCGTCTGAATCCTTCAAGATTGTATTTTCGGCGACAATTAATTCGAAGTATCAGATCTTTCTGCGAAAGTTGAAAATTAATGCTGTTTTTTTCACTTTTTGTTTCTTAGCCAGTCGAAATAATTGTAGCCACTAATTTTAGCACAAATATTTTTGTTCAGAAAAAAAAAAAACGTAAAAATAAGTCTTACATCTCGTTGGTAACCTTAGTAATAAAAAATTCTGATAATTGCTTTTAGTAGTTTAAAGAGATTGAACAAAAAACAGTATAAGTGTAGCAGCTATCAATAAGTTTCTTACAAATAAGCGGTCTTCACCTTGGCAGCAACAAAAAATAAGCTGATAAAAAAGCTTACATTTTAAAACAATGGATGATCATAGAACCCAGATAGTAATATAATCAACCATGACATCGTCAAAAAGCACTATAGTCAAGGCAACAATAATTTTTCTTAACAGATTAGTAAATTTGCGAAAGCATGACAAAAATTCTTAAAAAAATTATTCTTTATTACTAAAAAAGTATGATACTTATAGCAAAAATAAAATAAAATAAGATACCAACAACAGTTTACGCTTTACCGTAGATAGTTCAAACAGCTATGCTCCGTTACTTTTAAAGTTCTTAACTGAAAAATTTTAAACTGAATTACAACAATTACCTGGGTTCTTCAAAAGTATCCGCTCTTTTCAATGATCTCCTAGAATATCGCCGCCAACTTCTTGACGAATCTGGTCGTTCTGATGGACTTTCTCCAGCGCTTGTAGCGCAACCACCTAAAAAAGTATCGGTCAAATGTCGAGAAAAGAAAATAAGCTGAAAAAAAACAATTTTTTTGGTTCAAAGCAAATTTTATCAACTTTTTCATTTTGTAATACACATTTAAAAGTTACGTTTTCTTTCTTCGGTGAAAAAGTCAAAACAAACAAACTAGTTATATTGAATTTGGCCAGTATTCTTTTTAGATGTCGCAGAAAAATTGTAACAATTTTTGAACAAACAACACAAAGCAGCAATTAAAGCAGATGCCAAAATAAGCCTAATTTTAGTTAAAAGTTTTTTTTACTCTTTTCCTTTTTGTGAAAAGAAATAAATAATATATTATTGATATTAATGCAGCAGTGCAATCTTATGAATGTATTATGTTGGACCAGGAAGGAAAGACTTAATAATGATATACACAATGGCAAGAAAAGCCTGTAGATTTACTAGCAGAGGAAGTGCATGGTTGATTATCATTGTGGTTTCCGTAGTTATAATCGCTTTCGTTGTACCCGTGCTGCCCGGATTCATCGCTTGCATAAGCCTGCTGTTCCGTCTCGAAAACTAAGTTGTTATGATAATCGTAATGGTTGAAGTCGTCCTCGCGTTCGCTTGCTTCCACAGCATCATCCTCGTGATAGTTGTATTTGTGCGCATCGGAATCTTCATCAAACTGATTGTTTACCCGTTGGTTGTCACTGCTACTCTGGTAATCATCCAAAAGCTGTCCTTCCTCTTTATAAGCGTAAGAATATTTGCTCTTTTCATCGCCATCATGAAACGTTTCGTTTTTTCCATGGTAATTACTTTCCTCTTCAGAGCTTTCGCCTCGTCGGGACTGAAAAAACAATACTGCTTTTAAAAGATTTTTGGAGACACTTTTCGTCAGGAACTTGAAGAGTCAAGTTTTATCTACTCGTCTTGAATTATTCTACAATCCGTATTTTAGCTGATTATCCAACTGTTCTGGTGAAAAACTTGTTTAAAACTTGTTTATTTTTCGATTTCATCAACGAGGTAATGGAAGATAAAATTAAACTTTTGGCTGTTATTTTTTGAAGAAATTGTGAAGTGAGAAAATATAAAAGAAAAAAAAATAAAGCTTTTGAGTGCAAACCGCTTCAAACTCTTCCTGCATTTGTTCTTGCGGCTTTGAGTAACGATGATGTTGTAAGTGAGATTCCCATTGACGGACAGACGAATTTGCCTGATGATGAACGGGGAACGAGACGTCTGAAGTATAGTCTGAATCTTCCGAGATACCTGCTACATAAATGCGCTACAGAAACTACTAGCAAAAGGCAATACAACAACGAAACAATTGACATTAACATACACAAAAAACTGTAGATTATAAACAGGTGAAAATTTTTCATACAAGTTTTCCAGAACTATTTTAACAAGACTGATATAACTGAAAATACAGAAAGTAGAGGCATAAAATTGTATGCAATAAGGATGTCTTACCATGCGTAAACGGTGCTCGCCACTCAAGAACTTCATTGTATTGGGAATGGTCCTAAAAATTTGGCACCCAATTAACAGTATTAAATTACCAAACAGCTTCACTAGATTTTAAAAAACGATAAAAAATGAAACGTCTGAAACGTAAAAATAACAAAAAATTATAAAAAAAACATACAGGAAGTTCTCCACATGCATTTATTGCATGAAGTTTAGCTTGAAATTCTTTGCCCTCATTACCTTGCAGGTCTAAAACATAGATAACGTCTAACTTGTAAAATATTTTTTTGTAGTGAGCAAAAAAAACATTTATTTCAAACCATTATAAAACATAAAAACTGTTGTAGATGGAACTTTCAACAGCACTAATTTACCGAGGTTTTCAAAGCGAATGTCCGCCAGGAGGCTGTGTGGTGAAACTCCGCTGGTACCAATCACCTCGCCATTCTGTTCAACCTTTGTAGCATCCAGCTGTAACCATACAAAATTTCCAGGTTTTGGCTCATATTGGACAGATGAGAGTGGTAAGTATCTTGCGCCTGAAAAAGAAAGATGTTAGAAAGTGAAAAATGAATGCAACGAACAAAGCAGCAATGTCATAATAAGGTTGAAGAAAAATTAAAAAAAAAACAACTCAAAATTAGTTTTTAAAAGCCATGCCGTATCACGTATCATGCTCCAGTCGTACATACCTTTATTATACTTCACTCTTTATGCGAGAACAACTATTTTTTTCGCTTTTTTTCTTTTTTTTCTCCGCACTCTATACAGCTCAGTAAAAAGTAAAAATCTTGTTGTATTAGAAGGTAAAATGAAAAGAATAAAGAACATAGTAGGCGCTCAAAAATAAAGCTCCTCATATACCTAATAAAGTGTCCCAGAGAATGCCTTTTGTCCACAACTCTATCAGTATTCCACCATTCAAATTGTTTGTCTCACTGAAAATTAAAGTTTAGAAAACAACAACAACAAAAAAAAGGAATGAAAAGAATAAGAAATCAGGAGAAAAAGAGTTAGACAAGTAGAAGCCAAATTTTAAAAAAGCTAGTAATGTAAAATTTTTAATATGTTAATGAAAATTCATTTTCTCTTCCCTTTTTTTTTTATTTCTTCTACTTTCAAATAATTAAAAACCAGTGATCAAAAAAAGTTTATTTCAATTAAAAAACTTTTTACATCCCAGAATCAGTTGAACTTTTTCTTACGCTTTCATAGATTCCACCAGTTAAAGTTTTGACGAGTGCAAGAAAAAAAACGATGTGAATCACTAAGAGGCAGTAAAACCTACAAAACAAACTCTTGATCGTAGAATGGCTGATTTCCCTTAACCAGTGGAGTTCCAGAAGCTACTGAGTGCAATTTCACAATAACGTACGAGTAGAAATCATCTAAAACAATTTATAATTGATTTATAATGATAAGAGACTGTTTGATAAATCGTAGTGGAACAACAAATAATCAATTTTCTAAATTGCTATTTATTTTATTTATTTCTGCAGTTTGGAGTTATTATTTACAACATCATATTTAGTTTAAAGAACTAAAAGCATAGTAATTTTCAATTTTTCAAGCAGAAGCACAATGTATAGCTGACACTTTTGTTCCTGACTTCATAACAAATCACTAATAGATACATTGCATTCTTGACCGTTCAGGAAAACTTCAGACGACAAAATGTTAGATCTGTCGATAAAAAAAAAGTTAGAAACAAAAAAAGGTGCTGGATGATTAAGTGCGCAAAACAGTTTGCTTGAATAAAAGTAGCTAATCATAAGTTTTAACTTTGACAAGGCAAACATTAAATGTCGGTTTTGCCGTAACCACTTCACGCATAAAAGCTCTGTTGTAATTGGCAGTCGAAATGAAACAAGGCTAAAAGATGCAAAATGCGTAATTCGAAAATTTTTTTGCATTTTAATCCTTATTCCTCAGCTTTGTCTTCTCATTCCCTTATTACGTCTCCTTCACTCCCGCCTACATAAATACAAAAAGAAAAAGCAATTTACTGGTCATCATTAACAGAAGAAACTAATTTAAATCATCGTTTTTTCTTCCTTAGCCAAAACTCTTGAATGCTCTCTGTTACCAAAATGTATATCCCACTTTTTTACAGCTTTTTTCAAACTAATCCCTACTCCTCAGATCTCCTGTATTTCTTTCTATTTTTTAAGACTGAAACGTCAGCACAACTTACAAAAACACTAAAAAAATTTTTCAAAACATTTAATTACCACCTAATTCTTGAAGACAAAAAGAATTTTTCCAAAAACAGCATCGTTATCTTCTTCACTGGTTTAGGCACTTTTAAAGCAATGCAGATCTTCTGCATTATTCTTCATTCCTTCTATCTTGTTTAGGCGTAGTTTTATAATCATTTTTAAAAACTAAAAACCAAAAATTAATCCTTTCAGGATGAGCTAAGCGTAATGACCAATTTCAGTACCATTAAGAAAGGAAGATAATCAGTATTTATGCGAATTAATTTTCTGTGTCACGTTTTATGTAAACATTGCATATCCAAGTACAATGTGTACTTTTACTATAATTTCCCTCAGAAAGGAAGAAACAGGAACGGTTTAAAATTCACTGGAAAAAACTTCGCATTAAGTAAATTTCCTACTATGTTTTCTTCCTCACACTTCTTGCTTATCTGTTATTCTAACCTTAAAAATATTCCTCCTATCTTGTTTAGATGTATTCTTTATTAAAAGCTTCCATATTTTCTTTTAATGTCGCAGAATGCTAGGCTAGTAAACTAAAAAATTACAAATTCTACTTCTCGGCGGCTATTTCTGCGAAGATAAATCATTTGTGATAATAATTTTAGTGGGCATGTCCGTTATTGCAACAAATTATTATTAAATGCCCAAATAACAACTAAAATTTATCATCAACGATTTTAATACAGACAGAGGAACAACGAAAAAAGGGAAGCAGAAGAAGTTAATTTTATTAGCATTCATGCAATATAATAAATCAGCAAAGTTGCTTGTTTGCAGGTATTTTACATTGACAAGTGTAGGTACTAACGCTTATCAGTTCGTTGAATAAATAATACATTCAAATCGGTCTGAAGTAACTTAGTGATGACATAAATGTGTATTTGAGAGTAATAATTAGTACTGGCAACGATGGCAAAATGAAAACATAAAACAAACACTTTTGACATTCATACTTCTTTTTTTTCCGTTTTCTTCTATGTCTTCATCTTTATTTTCCAATTTTTTTCTAATCCCAGAAGAAAAAAA